GCTATGATTACATTTTCTACTTTCATATTACCTGTATAATTCACTTTAAGCCCACTTGAATCTATATAAATAAACTGTGATTTGTCTTTAACATCCCATGCAGTTGGCAAAACAATATTATTGTCTTCCATCAGGTTAAAATTGAACTCAGATCGCTCATTTATACGATTAGTGAACATATATTTGGAAATGTTGATTATGTTACATCATCCATTTTCTGCATTTCTGATTGGCCAAAATAAGGTTTAACTAATCATAATTGAATACAATTCATTAGTGTTTCGATCCGCAATCCGACTAATTCGGTAGTGTTGTTAGCCGATCGACTAACTGCCGACCGGCTTGGTCGTCGACCAATTCGTCAGCTTAGCTGGCTAAGTCATTAAGGGGTAAATGCAGGGTACTGCGATTTGGTTCATTTGATTGGTGATTAATTACGTAATTGCATGTGAGCAGAAAGTTGGTTTTCTTCGCTCTTTATTAACATTATAAGTTGCAAAGTTTCAATTTTACATTATAAGCCCACAATTCATATACATTGCTGATTAAGGGAAGGAGACTTACTTGTTACTTTAATTTCACTTCATAGTGGTAAATATTTTAGTGGCTATTAAAATATGATGGAAAGAAGTCGTAATAAAAAAGCTTTGCAAAGTTCATGAAAATGAAAACCAAATGCAGATTCTTTGGAACTTAGTTTTGATGACAAATCTCAGCGAAGAGTATGACTTTGGTGTGATGGCAGGTAATATATGGGCTAGGTACTGAGAAAAGGGTCAAAATGGACATTTTTTTAAAAAACTTTTTTTTGTGCATAACTAATCTAAAATTAGTCTGGAACCATCTTTCACTTAAGGAACGTATTTAAAGTTTTTATTTTCTTATGATTTATTATAAAATTTATTAATTTTCTGCAAAACTCTTTTTTGTCTTTTCTTAGCACCAAGTCCATATTTACAAAACAACGTATGTTCATAAAATATTGATCTACCATTTTGATCCGTGAAGTAATAATGTTTTTTATTAAGCTATAAATTCAATTTATTTTATTCTCGATATCTATAAATTCTTCATATTATAGTATATTTATAATAACTTTATTGTGAAGCTAGTCTAAATAAAATGAAACTAAATGATCATTTTCTTTTAAAAATAATAGATCGTGAACAGTATTGGGATTTAGACAATTTCGCTTATCAGTAATTACATTACCTGCATCTGAAAAGAGTCTTTCGGATGGTACTGATGTAGCAGAGACAGATAGAAACCTACGAGCCTGTCTGTATAATAAAGGAAAAGTTGTTTTTCTTTCTCTCCACCATCATAAAAGATCATGGAGATGATATTGTGGATGATTTAAAGGTAATACAGCAAGAGCGGGAAGTTGTAAATAAAGAGATATTTTTATATCAATTTGGGATGTAGAAGGTTGTGAAGATGAATTTTGGTTAAAAAAATCTATAAATAAAGAAGTATTGTTAGAAGAAGTAGTAGTTGATAGTGTGTTAGAGGTTTCTAATAATTCGATTCGGTTTTTTAAATTTTGTTTGATGTTTTCTCTTTGAAGTGGTGATAAAAAATTTAAAAATTTAAATCGAGGATCTAAAAAACTTGCTATACAGTCTAATTCATCAGGAATATCCCAATGTTTGTACAATGAAGCTAAAATTTCGGTACATACTGTTCTAATTTGAGAACTTGTAATAGTTTGTAGAATATTGTTTAAATATTCTCTTAAGCAATGTAAAGTAGGATACCATAATGAAAGTGTAGGATATGAGCTGCCTGATGTAAGATTGGTTGTATCTACGAAAGATCGAAGTAATAAAATTAATTCATCCAATAATGTCCAGTCTTCTGAATTAAGTAATAATTTTTTTAAATCATCACTATCACTTCGTGTAGTTCTGTTAGGATTTGAGGCTAGCTTATTAGCTAATACAGAAAGTGTATCACAAAAATAAATAAGCCTTTCTAATAAAAAAAAAGTGCTATTCCATCTCGTTTCTGTATCAGATGCAATAAGGTCCAGAATATTTATTTCTTGGATATCAGATTCTATTATTATTATAAAAAATATATATAAATACGCAAAAAAAAAGTATTTGTAATTTCTAATCTTAAAGATACTTTAAAATAAATTAGAAATTGCAAATACTTTTTTCCTGCGCTATATGTAGATATATATAGTAATAATTAATATATACGTAGCAATAGTTATTATTATTTTGTTTAAATTAGGTATAATAAATGTAAATCACTTGCCTTTAGCTTTTATTTCACGAAAGATTGCTTTTATTAATGGGCGGTATTTATCATGATTAACAATAAAATTATTTATTTTTTTTGCAGCATCGATTAACTTTTTTATATGCTTTAATCTATCCTTAATTGCAAGTTGCATAGTGTGCGCGACACAACGAATATGATTAGTTTCTAACTGATGTATTGCCTTGACCATAGCTGAATCATTATCAGTTGTACCACCAAAAAGTTTTTCAGTAATATTCCATTTTTGGAATTCTTTGCGCAGACAATCTTCAATATTATCACCTGTGTGAGGATACTTAAAAGTTTTGATTGTAAATAAAGCTGATTTAATATTAAAATCAGGAGTTATCCAATGAATTGTAATCCCGATATAAGGTTTATGGTCTTGAGTCCACAAATCAGTTGTAAAAAAGAAAGATTCTATGGAATTGTTCATTAATTCACTTAAATTTTGCTCGACTATGCTAATGGCTTCACTCATTTTTTTATATAAAGAATTAGTACATGGAATAGAATAAAATGATTCAAGCTCATGAACGAATTTTTGGAATTTTTGATTATCTACTACATGAAAGGCCTGCATATCATCTATTAACCAGTCCATTAAACGATATGTAATTCTTTTGATCTTATTTTGTTCAAGTGAATAATTCATAGATATTGTACATGTTGAGCTTATTTCAACTTTTTCTTTTTCTTCAATAATTTGATGTTTGGCTTTTAGATGGCTAGCAATGTTAGTTGTGCTGGTTTTTTCTCGGCAATACCATAGGCATTTAATTTTAACTCCATTATCTTCAATTTGAACTTGACATCGTCGAGTTTTTTTATCAACGAATAACCAAACCCAGCTTTCAGCATTTTGGTTAGCTGAAATAACTTTAATGTGAGGCGTAGTAGGCATCGATGATCGTTCAATTTCATTATTTAAAGAATGATTCATATTTAACTTTGAAATTTTGACGATTTTTATTACAAGAATTTTATTACAAGACTTTATTGCAAGACTTTATTACAAGACTTTTAAATTTACAAACGATAATTCAAACGTTATTTCTACAACAATAAGCAAATCATCCAATAAAAACCTATAAAAAGAGACAATAACTAAACTTGGCCAATAATATTATAACCAAGTCGGCCAACCGGCTTAGTCGATCAGGGGTCGACTAAGTCAACTTAGTCGACTAGCTGCATATCGGCTTATAACACTATAATTCGGATAGATCTCGAGGTAGAAATATTTCAAATAAGGAAATGATGATCCTGATCATGCATAATAGTTTAGCCAATTAAAATCATAAATTTTTATCATGTGAAATATATCACATGTTGATTAGCCAATCAAATTGTAAATTCTTATGAAATAAAAAAAAACAAAAATTTAATTAAAATTTATAGCTAAAGAGCTAAAGTTCAAAATAAATGCTGTTAAATGTTACTGTTAGGTAAGCAGCATGTATTTATTAATTTTTTCATAGTATATATTTGTTTTATTTATTACAAGACTTCGATAATACAGTAATAATAATCTACGTAT